TCGGCGGGGTGGCGGCGCGGGGCGCGGCGCTCAGGGGGAGGGGTTCCGGCGGCGCGGTGTTTTTTTTTTTGCTGCTTGGGGCAGCAAAAAAGTTAGAGCCAGCCCTGTCTGTGTTTAAAGTGAATTCATGCCTCAAAGACTGAAACTAATCTGTACAGTCTAATCTTCCTTAAGACTCTCTAAAGTAAATTCTTCTCAGCCTCCTAAAACCCCCAAAACTCAAGAGGTCAGGAAAACTGGCATCTTTTGGGGTTGCAACAGAGTAGCAGACTGGGCTGAATAAATGCATAATTGATCTTGAATAGGGTGTTGTTGTTGTTTTTTTTTAAAGCACTGTAAAAGCGAGTAAGCCAGAAGTGAGCCTAGCTAGTAGTTTAACAGCTATGGATAAGACCCCATTTCACACATGAGCCTAGAGAGGCCTGTGTGCCAGAGTTGGAACCCGTGGTAAATAGCTTGCCATTGCTTTGAGGTCATGCTATCTCTTTAATCTCTTCTACTGTGCAGAAGTGTCATAACAGGTGCCAATATTTCTCTGAACCCTGGCATGACTGCAGGCATAAAAAATGTGATTTCAAGAAAGGGTGCTTTGACTCATACATCTTGTTAAATTTCTTGGGCTTTAGAGTGTGTGTGTGTGTGTGTGTGTGTGTGTGTGTGTATAGATCTATATATCTTTGTATAAATGTAGATATACACATAATGCAATGATTCAGCTCTGGAAGAATTTAAAAGTTATTAACAATTATTTACTCTATAAAATGGAGATAACTACCAGTAACAAAACTATTTTCCACCATATGGACAAAAGTGCCCCAAATGTAAAATATTTTTGTGTGTGTCAGGTGCTGCAGAGCAACTCTACCTACTATCTTCTTCCAGTTGTTTTGTAGCGGTAGTTGCCAGAGGATACCTGCAAAGGGTGGGGATGGTGGTGAAGCACTTTGAATCTTTCAGCTATACCATGTTTTGTTGTGGCCCTTGCTTACTTTGAAACTGTACTGTATTTAGTTTAATCCGCTCTGAATAGCACTGTTAATTTTTCTGTTGAGTGATTTTTCACACAAGAGCTAATCGCACGTTTCTATAAATTATATTAATTTAACTTATTTACCTAACTGTTGTTCTGCAGCGAGTAGCACGGATGTTCTCCAGTTCTTGGCTGTGTGGTCTTGTTGCAGTTGAAAGCAGATCAGAAGCATCTGAAAACCATTATTTGGATTATGCATGCTAATCTTACCTTTAGAATCTGGTTCCTAAATCACAGTTGTTCTTACCCCTTGCGACTAATGTGTGTGTCCCCCAACATGTCACTGCCTGTAGTTATGCTTTTAGTATGAAGATTCTGTGACATCACAAGCATAAATTAAAGTGACAAGTCAGTGGGAGCTGGAGACAGGAATCTTGGTTCACACAGCATCTTTTTTGCATTACTAGTGAACCAGAGTAATCATGTCTGGGGATGTAGAGTGGGAAATACAGCCAATTTTGAGTCCTTCACAGTGACTGCGTTAGGTTTTGAAGGCAGGTTTTGGGTGATCAATGTGAGCTTGTGTGTCGTTGACGATCTCTGGAAAAGAGTTTTAATTGTTTTTTGTAACACACTTTCTGTCTTCCTCTACTTCCAGAGTATGATTTCATCCATTGTAAATAGCACATACTATGCCAATGTATCAGCAACCAAGTGCCAGGAGTTTGGGAGATGGTATAAAAAGTACAAGAAGATTAAAGGTAAATTAACTTCAGTTATTGTTAATTTCCAAGCCAATGAACTGTGTTTGACTGTTTGAAATTTTGTTTTAAGTGAGGGTGATGATAAGCCTTAATAATATTAGTGAATTTGTCTGCAAAGAGGGCACAGCTGTAGCACACTGGAAATTAAATCCAATGACTTATGAACAAGGATGGTGTGAAAGAAAAGATTTTTAAAGAAAACATGCTAGTTACATCACATTTTAGATTGTAATTGCATTGAAAAGATCAACCGTGTGTGTAAGAAAACTAAAACATCTTGGAAAAAAAATCTGCTATAGAAGATCTGGATTGAAAAGTTAAATTGCTAAGTAAATCACCTTCATCGTATTTTATTTATGAAAACTAAAAACCTGTCTTCCTAAGTTAAATGTGTCCTCGCTTTCTGTTTAAATATGGTTAAGTGTATTGGCATTCCTGCCATGTCACATCATCTGGAATTTAGGTAGCAGCGGTGCATTTGAGACCAAGTTTCTTGGAGGCACTGGGCTAAATTCATCCCAACTATTCCCACTTATACCAAACTGAAAATGGCCCATTATTTTTATTATATGGAATGGAATTCTGTTAGCTGGTGAAATACTAATGTCTCATACAGGAACATTATTCTGTGTAGGTTCTTATAATGCCCTCATTGCCATAATGCCTGAGTGTCTTCCAGCAGCGCATTAAGTGATGTTACTAACATCTGTCATGTGTAATTTGTTCTTTCTCTAGTCCTTTCCTCAGGGGGAGAATTGTGTATACAATGCAATGTTTTGTTTTGGTAGAGTTCTGTTTTAAATACACATGCTGCTATGTATTTGTGTTAGACAAAGTATGGCTGAAGAATTGTGCCTTGTATTTGAAGGGGGAGGTGGTGAGGTTTGTGATGGTTCTTTGTTCCGCAGTCTCGGACCCTGAGTACGCTGTCTTCTGCACAGACAAGATTTGCCGTTATGGCAGAAAGTTCTATTTTGCCTGAAGAGTGGAGTTGTTGGCCAGAGTCTTCGTCTCAGAACTTGAGTCTCTTTTAGATATGCTGGGTTCAGGCCATTGAGCACCATGAAGATAAGATCTTAGACCTTAAATTTGACTTGATATTCTTTGGGAAGCCAGTGGAGAGAGCAGAGGACAGGTTTGATGTGCTCATGGTAGCTTGTGGTTGCTAAGAAGATGCATTGCAGTGTTTTGTTTTAGTTGGAGTTTCCTAAGGTCTGATAGCTTCCTGCCCAGTTATATCACATTATTTTAGTCTAGATGGTGGGTGAGTAACTGGTAACACAGTAGCTGGTTAAAAGATAGGAAGCAAAGGGTAGGAATAAATGGTCAGTTTTCATAACGGAGAGAGGTAAATAATGGGATCCTCCAAGGATCTGTACTGGAAATTGTGCTGTTCAACATATTCATAAATGATCTGGAAAAGGGGGCGAATAGTGAGGTGACAAAGTTTGCAGACAATACAAAATTATTCAAGACATTTAAGTCCAAAACTGACTGCGAAGAGTTACAAAGGAATCTCACTAAACTGAGTGGGTGACAAAATGGCAGATGAAATTCAGTGCTGATGAATTCAAAGTACTGCACATTGGGAAAAAATCATCCTAACTATACATACAAAATGATGGAATTTAAATGAGCTGTTACCATGCAGGAAAGAGACCTTAGAGTCATCATGGATAGTTCTCTAAAAACATCTGCTCAATGTGCAGCAGCAGTCAGAAAAAGCTAACAATGTTAGGAACCCTTTGGGAAGGGATAGGTAATAAGACAGAAGATATCACAATGCCACTATATAAATTCATTGTACGCCCACACGTTGAATACTGCATGCATTTCTGGTCATGCCACCTCAGAAAAGATCCATTAGAATTGGAAAAGGTTCAGAGGACAACATAAATGATTAGGGGTATGGAACAACTTCTGTACGAGGAGAGGTTAGAAACAGTGTTCAGCTTAGAAAAGATATGACTAAGGGGGGATATGTTAGAGGTGTGTAAAATCATGAATGGTGTGGAGAAAGTGAATAAGGAAGTGTTGTTTACTCCTTCACAAGACACAAGAACTAGGGATCACCCAGTGAAATGAATAGGCAGCAGGTTTAAAACAAACATATATAAGAACTTCTTCACACAATGCACAGTCAATCTGTGGAACTTGTGGCCAGGGATGTTGAGAAGGCTAAAAGTATAACTGGGTTCACAAAAGAATTAGATAAGTGCATGGAGGATAGGTCCAAGTGTCTATTAGCCAAGATGGTCAATGACTCATCTCCATGCTTTGTGTGTCCCTGAACCTCCATCTGCAAGAAGCTGGGAGTGGATGATAGGAGATAGATCACTCGATGGATCATGTCCTCTTCATTCCCACTGAAGCATCTGGTACTGGTCACTGTCGGAAGACAGGATATGTGGCTTGAGGGATCATTAGTCTGACAGCCAATGCATTGGCATTCTTATGTTCATATTTCGTATAGGAAAGATAAAGCTCTATGTCATTACATATTTCTCGCACTTAAGTCTGTCTCATGTGTTCATTTCACCTACTGGCTGCATGTAGATGTTGAAAAGGAATGGAGAAAGAATTGATCCTTGGGGGACTCAACAAATGAGGGGTCTAGTGGTGGAGGCATAGTTTCCCATCAATATGGTTTGGACATGTCCCTCCATGGGGGAAGGACTTTAACTATTTTAGCACATTCCAGTGGACCTCTGCCATCCCTCGAGACAGCAGTATCTCATAGTCAACAGTGACAAATGTTGCAGACGGGTCAAAGAAGATGAGAATGGATGTCTGCTCACCATCCATTTATTGCAGGAGATCATCGGTGGCACTAAAGCTGTTTCTGATCATGGCCTGGCCTGAATCCAGATTTTGGGGACTAGCATATTAGTTTAAATTAGATGTTTGTAATTGACCTGTGACTAGATTCTCTATGAGCTTGCTCAGAAACAGAACGTTTGACACCGAGCAGTAGTTGGCGTGAACCAATGTATCAACGAGGGAGGGTTTCTTCAGTGTCGGTCTCTGGAAGAGAAGATTCCTTCCCTGAATTGGAATGCATTGGCTATTTCAGGCATGACTTGCACCAGAAGCTCAAGACTTTTTTTCACCAGCCATAAGGGCATGTGTCAGATTCACAAATCTTGGGTCGGGACTCCATTATGGTGCCCATAACGTCTTGAGAAGTGAATATACCAAATGTACACTTATTCATGAAACTCAAATGTTTAAAAAAGTGTCTGCAGTTTTTTTTCTTTTAAAAAGTAGAGCATATAGGATGTGGAAGGCTGCTCATTAATTCATTTAAGGCAAAATATAAACCCATCATAGTAATGTAATAAGGAAGCTTCTTTTAGAATTGAGAATATTTGTATCTTGCATAAGATATCAGGGCAAACACTGAGGGATCTGTTTTCCCTTTGATGTATGTGTCTATTTCCCATTAACTGTAGCGTGGTTACATGTGTGCATGGAGTATGGAAGATATACCTATAAAAATCAGAGCTCAATTGTGTGCAGCAGTTATATTTGCCCTAGAAAGAGTGATTATGTTTTAGGTTAAAAATGGCTGTGAAGGAGATTAAAATAACTGAAGTAAAAGTGTAAATTAAGTACATAAGAAAATTAAGATACACATCTCCTCTTGTAAAATTACACGGGGGTCATCTGCAAATTTTGATTTAGACATTTACTATGTCGTTAATATTTACCATTGTGCAGGACGAATTGAATAGTTCCTTCTCACTCTAAATCACCACCGTGTGACTCAGAAGTGTTTTCTTTTCTCTAAATGACACTTAGTAAAAAGATTTTTTTTTAAGTGCTCTTGGCTGAAACAAATCAAAGGAATCAAACAGCTTCAAGGTCATTTAGTAGATCGCTTTTACTCGCTGTTGCAGGAGAAAAGCTATGGGCTTGCTATTTCATCAGGCTAGGGTGTAATGCCAGCTCCAAAGGCACTGGAAACCCTTAACTGTAGTGGTTCTCAGTGTTGCCACTTCAGACTCCCAAGTGTTTCTAGCACCCCGCATCTTCCACTTTCTTCCTTTCTTAGAGCATTCAGTTCTTCAAGCTCTTTCTTTTTTTTAGTTAGTAAGTGCACAGTTAAATCGTTAAGTGCAGTAAAAGCAGAGCGAGACCTTGATTTCAATCAAGAGGTCAAGGATCCAAACCTGAAGAGTTTGCCAGATAACAGTGTATGTGCACTATTTAAAGAGATTCAGCTAGTCGTTGCTGTTTGGAAGAATATGTGTGTGTTAGTAGGAGGAGAAAAGAGAAGGTTAAGGTATGTGTGAAGTAAACACAAGCTGCTGTAAAACAGTTCAAGTGGTGTTGATTCATCAACCAAACGAGTGGGAGGGAAAACAAAGATCCATGACAGGTACAGTTGGGTATGGAAAATAAATAGCTATGTAACTTCATTGCAATAATCTCTAGCACCCTCTGAGAGGGAAGATTCCTGCACTTAGTTTGGTGCTTTTAATTTCACATCTCCATTTCTTTGTTATGATTTCATTTCTACTTCAGTTAGTGGTTTGTACAGTAGAACTTATTTCATATGTGAAATGAGTGAGTTTTTGAATATAAATCTCCACACATTCCTTTTAATAAAAAGTAAAAAGTTTTGTTTTTTTAAAAAACTGGATATAAGCAACAGTTAGCATTTAGGGTCAAATTTTGCCCTTGGATATCACTGTGAGGCATTGGGACCAGTACACGCATATCCAAGGCCAGATTTGGTGAATAGAATTTAAAAAAAACAAAACAAAACAAAAAACCCCAAACAAGCAAAAAAAAAAAAATACACATGCACTGTGGTAAATGCAAAATAGAAAGGGGCTTCTAAATTACTATTGACGTCGCAAACTAAATGCAGTCTATGGTATTTAAATGTGTTTCCTATTATCTGCTAATGTCTGTTTTAATAAAACAGTGGGAACTAAATGGTTGCTTCTTAATCAAAACCATGATTTCCTAAACATAAGCTATGTGATTCT